TTAATTAAAGACTGTATATAATGACTATTTTGCACATCCCTTTCAAGATTTCAAGATTTTCTAAGGTTTATTGACATATCATATAGGCCTACACAACTATGGTGTAGTTCTACATTGAATGAAAAACTTGGGTCGCAGGTTCCTCAATAGTGCATTACAAGACATCTATCAATATTTGTGCATACCTCCAGCAATGTTAACTATGTTGAAGCACTTATTTTAACTGATATTATACATAATGTATTATACTCTTATAAGATGTATGTAGATATTTCATCTCCGACCTTGTCAGGTATTGAACAATCAATAAATAAAGAACACAGAATTGTTGAATATAAAACACAGAATTTGTGTGATTATACTAAATGATTTACAAATAAACACCACTGCATATTTAACTGTTACACATGCTGATGTAACGCAAATGTTCCTACTTGAGATCAATAAAGTATATCTTATCTTAAGCTGATCGATGGCTATACTGCCATATTTGCAAAATGTGCCTCTGAACCTTAACAAGTGCATGTTTCAGGCTTATCAATTAATGTAATGTAATGTTATCAATTAACAACAGGGGTCACAAACATAAGACCAGCTGTTAAATAAAGCTCTTCTGACCTTAGCTGGCATGTGTGTATATATATATATATATATATATATATATATATATATATATATATATATTAATGCTGCCCATTATGGGCACAAGCAATTTTCACCCATTTATTAATGATATGTTTTAAATGTGAGTGTTTCCTATCCCCTAAACCTCCAGGGATGTACACAGTTTAATACTGGCAACTTCTTATTATGGGAAATACGAAAACGTCTTTTAAAACTACAACTCCCAGTAGAGACGTGCCATAGATACAGAACATGTTGCGAAACAGAATAGCCAGCATTTGTAGTTCTGGGGACAGGGTGGGGGAGGGGGGACGCGGTGGACCCGTTCAAATCCAGTTTTGGACAGTCTGCCGTGCATGGTTCCATCCCATTTCAAGTGCTGTTCGAGGCTCGGCGTAACCCTCGGAGCACACTCTCCAATCACAGAGCTTGAGGACTATCACGGGGTTTGTCAAACAGAGCACATGGTTTGGTCCAAACGATAGCTGGGGATTCTGGGTAGTGTAGTGTCTTCTGCCATCCTTTACTCCGAAAAAACATTTGTTTCTCCGAATCGAAGGGGAAAAATACAAAAGCATTGCACACAATTTAAACCAATCAATGTTGTGTAATTAACAAGGATAATCTGGTGTTTTTTAGTCGATGAGTAGTGCAGATATCACTGTAAAATAAATCGACAGTAAGGGGAATACTTACTTCTGGGTGTACAATTCTCCGTTATCCAATGAGAATGGACGCTCACATTGCCTTTAAGGGCAGTCGACACAAACGAACGCCGTGCTTCCATGAGCGTCCATAGAAGCATATGGACATCCCGGAAAGCTGAAAATGGACGCTAAGGCCCCCCCCCTTGCGTTGAAAATGGACGCTAAGGCCCCCCCCCTTGCGTTGGAAAAAGCCGACAGGGGACTTGACATAACGTCAACATAGGCCGACCTGGGAGTGAGGATGTGTTGCTCCTGCACAATGATCTCATAGTCATCGGATCCAAATATGGTCATTTCCTTTGTATCAGCAACCAATCGTGAAAGTACAAAAGGGTCTTAAACCAAGAAACGAAATCTCATTGGCTGGTGTCAATTTCTGACAACGTGATTCGTTCAGATGCATCACGTGGTGTGCTAAAACACTTCCTGGTTAGCTTTCCGCTAGAAATGTAAATCTCAAAATGGCAAAAGAACGGTGAAAAAAACGTTCACATAGAAGACAACAACAATTGTCACTTGCACGAAGCAAGGTTTTACAAAACACAAATGACCCCGAACATGAAATACCTTCACGGAGTGCGTCGAGGCGCAAGCTATCATCCAAAGAACAGGAGGGTTTAGCTAGCGCCTCACTGCAATCTTTAAAGTTCGTTTTCTCAAAATGAGTTTTTTCTCCTACTCTGAGTCCGAAATTTCCACTTCAGTTGCACTTACATACACCAAACCTTCCAGTTATATTCCTATCAATATTATGAAGGCTTTTACAGAAGGGTTTGTTCATATATCATTCATAGCCTGAATTATATAAGATTTTATACCTAGAAACATGGCGAAAATTGATATTTTAGGGCTGTTGACAATATTTTCTGATTTATGGAGTGATAAAGAGAGATATCCAAAATCCCTTCGGTGAAAGCCTTAGATGCTAATATGACTACAAAATAAAACGAGAATTTTGAACCTGGCTTTATCCAAAGTGCAGATTTCGGTTCCTGAAATGTGTTAAAATATGCGCAAATGTAATGAGATAATGGATCATTTATATATATATATTACTTTAGTTGTAGAGGTGGTGGGCTGAGGAGTAGCTGGTGGTCCACTCTTTTTATTGGGTTGTTTGTTGGAGAAAAAAATCCAAAATCCTTTTTTGCACCATTCTAGAAAGTTGTCACTCTGCAGTGTGTGTGTCGCGTCAATTACGTCACTCTCCCAAGACCTACGACCTAGATGACTCGGATTTTACTTATTTGGAAAATAAATTCAAGCCACCTGATATATACAAATATATACTATGACTATTATATGCTACTGTATACAGCTAATTTTATTTTAAGTAAAATCATAACTATTTTATGTAGTTTAATCATTTTTATTTAGGTGGTCACTCAGTTTTTCAAATGTACACCACTCGCCAACAGGGGGTGCTGCAGCACCCCCAGCACCCCTACTTCCCGCGGCTATGTCACATACTTGAATGAATGGTAAATAAAGAATGCTGGAAATAACTGCATCTCCATTAGCCTATAATGTATGCTATGCAGACTGCCTTCTTCATGTCGTGAATTGCAGCTGATGTTTTAATATGGCAATTGGCAATTTGACTTATACAACATTCGCAAGTTGTACATTTGACTCATACAATAACCCACCTTCGAGTGATGCTCTAGTTTCTTCATGTTTTGTTTTTTGCGCCGGACTGAAACTGTCTTTTCACCGACATCTCTTTACCTGCACTAGTGGCCGTATCAAAGCCGTGATTGGTCAGATATCGATACATTACAACGGTGTCGGGTTGCAGACATGCTCCCCTTGTCATCTCTCACTCTCACTCTCGCGGGGGGTGCGCGGAGAACTGAGCGGAGAACTGCGCACAGCAGCTGAGGCCCTCTGGGCGGGGCCCCTGCGCAAGGCGGGGCCCCATGCAGCCTGCGTGATTGGCCTGTAGGGAGGGGCGGCCCTGTGTGTGTGTGTGTGTGTGTGTGTGTGTGTGTGTGTGTGTGTGTGTGTGTGTGTGTGTGTGTGTGTGTGTGTGGTGTGTGTGTGTGTGTGTGTGTGTGTGTGTGTGTGTGAGTGGACACATCATGTGACGTGTCAAAGGTCAGTTCACGGCCCGTTTCGGCTCCCGCTGGTACTGGTAGTAGTCTATTTAATTTAAAGGGGCAGTTTTATAAATATTATATAATTATAATCCCAGGTTATGATTCCGTCGAGACCCTCTGCTTTCACTGCCACCCTTCTGGCAGCGCACCCGACCCCATAGCTGTTTCCCGTAGGTGCTGGGCCCGCGGGACGGAGAAGCGGAGGTGTTGCCCACGTTGCCTTTTCGGGCTGTGCCCGGCCGGGCTCCCTCCGTGGCTCCTTCGCGTCGAAAGGAGCCAGTTGAGGTGGTTCGGGCACCTAGTTAGGATGCCACCTGGGTGTGTTCCAGGCACGTCCAGCTGGGAAGAGACCTAGGGGTAGACCTAGGACCAGGTGGAGGGATGATATCTCTTCGCTGGCCTGGGAGCGCCTTGGGATCCCCCAGTCAGAGCTGGTTGATGTGGCCAGGGAAAGGAAAGTTTGGGGGGCTCTGCTGGAACTGCTATACCCCCGCGACCCGACCACGGATAAGCGGGAGAAGATGGATGGATGGTTATGATTCCTTGAAATTATACTCAACTAACCCCCCCCCCCCCCCCACACACACACACACACACACACACACACACACAAATAATTCGGAATATTTCTTCATTGTATTCATTTAAGGCTTTACTTTCCTTAGTTTTTTACTTTCATTAAAACGTTGTTTGTTTTCATATATTTTTCCCATCACATCAGTGAGTGTAGTAAGTAGAGTAATTAAATCAACGATCAGTATGCTTTTTTCCTCCATCATTAACACCTCGGAGAATGACAATGAACACAACCCTAGTCAGCCACAGTGGATTAACACTGCAATTGTTGGAAGTATTGCAGGTGTTAAATGTAGCTCTTTGAATGTGAACGAAAACCCATCAGTGTTTGTGTGTTGGGTCTTAGCTACAATTGATTAAATGGGGGTTGGGGGGGGATGTTCTCGCAGTTTCCCGAGTTACCATGGCATCTATTTCACAACCAGAATGAGACTCTGGAGATAAACCGTTAACCTATTTTCCACATTAAGAGTAAATGGCGCCCTCTGGTGATTCATTCCACTGAAAGGATTTCACTGTGTTAACAATGCAATATACGTACACATAATAGAGGACCCTCCTAATGATCCTTTCAGTGGTGGGAGAGTTAAGGGACGAATTGCACTCAGCATGAGGTCTCAAAAGGCTTTTAAGTGTTGCATTTCCTCGAAACGGCTCTGCACACACTGCTTACTCGGCTAAAGACATTAGCTTCAAGTGAAATAGTTTTTGCTGCAGTGAACTGTGCCTTCTGTCATGGTCAGTAAATTAGTTTTTAATAGAGTTGAAAGGTTTTTGACAACAATCGTTTTATGAGCACTAACATCCTTCCTCCTGGGAATCAGACCCGTTTCTTATTAGAATATGTTGATGAAATCTTAGTATCTCAGACTTGTCTTCCATATTACCTCATTTTAGTTTAGGGCTCTTTCAGGTTAAATTATCCAGCCTCATGATTAGCACATACATCGTAGGTAGCTGAATACAGTATGGAGTTTAAGTGAAAGGACAGTAAGACAGTTCTAATTCATATTTTTAATAGTTTGCTTGACACTGTCATACTGGTCACACAAACAACTTGATTTGTTTATTTCAATAGAATTTTGGACAACCAAATATGTAAAATAAAAGAAAAAAAAAGGAAACAATCAGCAAAAGAGAAATTTCATTCACTATTTTTTCTTTCCTTAAAAAAATATCAGTCTTTCCCCTTACCGTTTCAAAACCTGGAATTACAGAATGAAACAGAAATTACAAGTTAAATTCCAAGAAGCTGGAAGGCCATTAACATTTGCTGGCAAATATAAATATAGTGGTTTGAACAGTGTCTCAAATAGCTCACATGGAAAGAGGGTACATACAGTTTACACAACAGTAGGACACTCTGCACTGCCTGTATCCATTTTTATTAATGTAGAAAAACCAGGATCCTTATTTACTGATTCAAATAAATGTGTTTATGACAAGAAAATATTTACATTCAGCCAGCACTTATAGTCTCTGGAGGTTGGCTGTTGTGTTGCCCCTTCAAACATGATTGTCTATTCAGGAGGATAGTTGTGAGTGTATGTGTAGTCTGAGTAGTAGTCCTGTGCCCTCCCCCTGCCTGCTGGGTAACCCCATGAGCAGGGTCCACCTCCAGACCCGTTCCCCCGATCATGTCCTCGTCCAGGCCGTGGCCAAAGCCCTACTGGAGGAAGTCCTCTGCCCCGATAGCCCCCTAAAGAACCAGGACCCATTCCCCCCCTCATGGGCCCATGGTCCATCTGTCCAGGGATGCAACCATAACCCACAGCGCTTATTAGATGTGGAGGCAGCTTAGGTCTGACCATCGAGCCCCCCCTGGTGGCCATTGTGGGTAAGCCCACAGAGGCTCCAAGGTTGTTGGTGCAATTCACCGGAGTACTGCCCCCCTGACTACCAGGGGTGTTTCCTCCGAGGGTTTCCCCAGTGTTAGTGAGCCCGCTTGGGTCCAGTTGGCCAGCAGTGACCCCACCCTGGCTGCTGGCAGTCTGAAAAGTACTGACACCTGCTGACCCCCATGGACCCTCCCCATGTCCAATGTGTGTCCTGTCTTGTTGCGTAGGGGTCCCGCCAGCATGTGATGGAATGCCGGTCATGTAACCCGGCTGGGCTGAGTCATTGTGGTCTGTGTAGGGCTGCGTGGTGGTGAGCGGAGAGTTCCCAGAAGGCCCAGCTCCTCCGGTGTCTGAGCCATATGTGTGTCCCAGCATCATGAGGTGAGGTGGAGGAGGGGGTCTGACCTCCATGGGGAGGGAAGCCAGGTTGGCTAGAGGTCCTGCTGAGGCAGAGGCTGGAGCTGGGACAGGCCGATACTCCTGCTCCTGGGTGCTGCTGCAGGGCGAGGCAGGGTAGGCGGGGGAGGCTGCATAGCTGGAGGAGCCAGTGTAGGAGGACCACGAGGCTGAAGGACACAGGAAGCTCTGGTGAGGATTCACAGGAAAACTGCCCGGGGATAAGCTGCCAATGTCTGAAGAGCCTATTCCCATCTGGTTGGTGGCTTTGAACTGAGAGATGGCTGTCTTGAGAGCACTGTAGTCAGACAGCGTTGGAGTTCTATCAGGAGTCGCCTGCTGGTCTGGAAGCGGAGGACGAAACTCCTCCGTCTCCGGTGGGGGCGGCTGCGGAGCGCTCTGAACTGCCTTGTTCTGCTCTGAGGGATCCAATATGGTGTTTGACTCACCATCATCAGAGTCTAATGACATGTCCTCCTCTTCCACACACTCAGCGTTTACTACTGGGAGAGCAGGAGAGAGCAGAGAAAGATAAATGGAAAAGTGGAAAGGAAGATATTATCAAGGAATGCGTTATAGATGCATTACCAGCACAAAGTGTGTTTTAAAAGCGCTGCTAGACAGTACAATCATATTTTCACAGGCGAGATAAATGAACAGAACAAAAGGCAATTTGGCAAAGCAATTACACTGCAGCAAAACGACAGGAAATCTCCAGGGTTTTTGTGTGTATGCCTGATGACGACGTTACCCACCTGTGGAGGGCGGTGTCGGGAGCTCATTCTGATTGATGGAGCCAATGAGACTGTGGAAACCGCTCATAACATCATCAATGCTCCCTATCACAATCCCATTTCTGGAATACTGCAGGAACATCTCAAATGGCCTCTCTGTCGAAACACAAGATGCAATAATTCAGTCAGCAATTTAAAATGAATCAAAGACAGCGATACACACATTTAATACTTTTACATCATCTACATTTCCCTCTATATCATTTGGAATAGGGATGTCTTGAAAACCGATACTGCGGTGCTAAGTTGATGCCAACATCTGAAAATGTGCAGGAGAGCTAGTCAACATTAGCTGTTAACAGCTGGTAAAGATGTGTTTTACAGAGTTGCACTATGGTGCATTCAGGCTGTATTCAGTTCAAAGGTAGTTATAAGTCTGTCATGATATTTACAAATGTCAAACATGGTTTTTGGAAAGAAACTTGAATAAATAATATTTTCTTTTTTACTGAATTTCTGGTAAAGGAACATCCCTAATCAAGAAGTTAAACATTTCTAATTAACAAAAAAAAACATACATTGTAGTTTTATGCTACTTTTAGAAGACTGATGAATGTGACTTTAGTTGATAATGATGAAGATGATTATACCTGTGAGGAAGATAAGGTGCCGTTGCTGTGTGTGCTGAGCTTGGAGCTTGATCAGGCATTCCAGGTCTGGAGCCTGACGTGACTGGGTGTCACACTCGTGATACGGGAGGAACTCCACCAGGTGCTTCTTCTGATACACGGTGAGGAGGTTTAGCAGCCCCATGGCGTTGGCGTTTAACCTTTAAGAGAACGGAAAAAATAGTATTTGATTTGAATTACAGCTGCAACGATTAGGCGACTGACAAAAGAAACATTTTCTCCATCTATTATTAATAATGCATTTTAGGTAGTCACCTCGCCAGTTCTTTAAGCTTCTTCTGGGACTTGCAGTGCACCTTCCACTGCCAGGGGTGTTCAGGGGTGCTCTGCTCTTCCAAGAACTTCAGCAGCCCCTGCAAACGATCTGGAAAAAACAAGCCACATAAGCTTTCAAGTTAACATTTACCCCTTTCTTTATTGCCATTCCAACGGTTAAGAAATTAGACCTATAACATATACTCTCAGGACTGGCTCACACTTTAAGTTCCTGCAGTAAAACCTAATCTTGGAGACAAAGCTTTCGGATGTTGACACACTGATATTGATAGGGTGATTACAAATGTGTGTTCTATTGGCTTTGGGTGTGCTGGTTTTGCATGAAATACTTGTCGTTTTATCTATTTTTTATTCCTAGGCCAAGGATATATCAGAAAACATTTATATTTCATCCAAACATTTCCATGAACTCGCACACTTCCCACACAGACTTACCCTGCGTGATAAGGTCAGGGTTGAGGACGAACTCATCAGACACCATGAAGCCTCCGGTCACAAACAGCTCGTTATAAGTGTGGTTCTTGACATCGTCCAGAGTGTCGACTCCAGCGAAGCTCACTGAGGGCAACTTCTTCAAAGACACCAGTGCTGGGATCTGCAGAATGAAAAGGTGAACTCAAAGTTATTTTATTACATTTGTATTGAATGTATGTATATCTAAATATATACATGTGCATATTGTCTTCAAAGTGTGCGCATAGAACCCTATAGAATAATTAAAGTCAGCTGCCAGATAAGAAAAACAATACTCTGCAGCAGATGTTGAATTCAATTAGGATGCTAATATTAAAGTTTGATCACTGTGTGGATCAGCTGGGGCCATGAGATGAGGATAGTGACAGGAGGTGATCGTACCTTGTGCACGTGTGCAGCGATGTCCTCGTTCTGAATGATGATGAGGAGCTTATCTAAGCTGCTGCTGTTCTCCAGAAACGTCTGCGGGCTGCACTCGCTGTTGCCGAGACTCTTCAAGTAGTCCTTTGTGACAGACAGGAGAGACGTAATTGTTAAAGACAGACAGATGAACAAGTCCTTCTCTCTTTCACCTCACATACCAACTTGTCTGCCAGATACAGGATGAGCTCAGGGACACGGAACACATAGTGGCAAAGAGGAGAGAGTGTAACCTTTCACATTCCTGCTGTCGGTCTGTGAGGAATGTTTTTGAGTTGTACTTATAAACTCATAAATATTTGGGTTTTGAATTATTACAAAACACCATTGTGAAAGGTTCTAGGAACTCTGTGAGACTGACATTTATTGACAAACATTTAAAAGCACAACACAATCCCAAAGATTATAAATGACCATGAACGGGGGCCTATACTACGAAGCTGGTTCAACCTAACCTGGATATGTTTGAGTTAGCCGGTTGGCCTAATCCAAAACATACGCGCTCTCGCTAAACGGTACTACGACGCTGGTTATCAAGTGGATCGCTCAAGCCAGCCGTGTCCTATCTAGTTAGGTGCGCGTTCACATGAACTGACAGCGCAGCGTCATACTTCCTGAATGAAAAGTGAACTTTAATACTAGTCAAATATGAAGAAGTTAAACTTTAAACATCCATGACTTAAACACTTTATCCAGGATAAAAGCCACATAGCTGTGTGGCACAAATAAAGTTTGAATGCGTACATTAACAGGTTTATGATATCACTGCCCCGTCTAAAACACGATCTGACTTTAATTACATTTGTCTCGAGTGTTTCGTCAACTTAATGTGTTGCTTAAAATAATACTTCTGCATACAGTATGTGACACTGTGAGTGTTGCACGGCCAGATACGGCTCAACTGACTCAGATAAGGAGATATATGATACATTATGATGTGATATGATGTGATATGAATGATAATGGGACACGTTGACGTCTGCACTCAGTGTACTTATGTTGTGGCAGATATTTAAGTAAGCTTTCTTAACGCTAATGTTATAATAGTCAGATTGCTCTGAAGATGGAGGTGATATTCTATTAATGTTCACGTTCACACAGTCGGTGATTTTTGCCGGCCGTCTTTCCTGCAACGGCAGCTTTTCTGTATTTCCTTTCTCCTGTAATATGACTTGATCGCTTTAAACTCCGCACACTGAGCTCTGATTGGTCAGCAGGCAGTGCTTTCACTGAGTTGAGCTCTTAGCCTGCAACCTAACCTGCTCCCGACCAGGTTAGCCGCTTAGCATAAGTTACCATGGAGATCTAGCCTGCTAAAAAGAGAACCAGCTTCGTAGGACCGGAAAGCCGGAGTTTTCCCTGAATTTAGCCGGCTAAGCGAAAATCCTGCTTCGTAGTATACCCCCCTGGTCTCCACTTTCAAAACCACATTGAGCCCTTGTTTTGTACCTTGATTTCCTTGCAGACGGAACTCTCGTCCCCCTCGTCCCCGGAGTAGATGTAGAATTTGACCGTATTCTTGGTGACGTCCTTAAAGATCTCCACCAGGCTGCTGAACACCTCAGGCTTCAGCTGACCGATGAGGCTGCCAGCCAGCAGGCCCGGTCCACTCCCAGAAGGAGGGTCCTTTTTATGGGTCTTCAGCTCTGGAGAGTCTGGTGTGACCTGAGAGGGAGAATAGAGCTCTCCCTTAACCTTTCCCGACGAGCCCTCTGATTTAGACTTAGCGGATCCTTTGACAGTGCCCGTTTTACCACCGTGAGAGGAGGGGGTGCTTTTTGACAGGGAGGGGTCTGCTTTACTTTTAGGAGTCTGTACGGGGGTGGGGGGTGGTGTGGTAAGATTAGATGTCGTGACTGCGGGAGGTGGAGAAGTGACCTTGGGGGGAGCAGGTGGGCTGGGGATCAGCTTGTCCATCTTCTCACACAGTGCTTTGACCTCCCCTTGAGTGGGGACGGGCGAGACGTAGGGTATCACAAAGTCGGAGAAGCAGCTGTTGGGCAGCCAGCTGTGGCGAGGGAGCAACCTCGGGGAGAGCCGCGAAGAATAGCAAATGTGCTGAATCTGCATGATGTTTTTGATGTTAGAGGTGAGACTGTGAATCTCCTGGTTGAGTATGGTGTCCAGGCTGATGGAGGGCCTGAAGGGAACTTCCTCTACGACTGGTACCGTGGGGGGTGCGACCGCCTTTTTTACTTTCACCGCTGCGGGGGTCTTGGGCTCTGGGTAGCTGTCTGCCATCGTCACAGATACTGGCTCAGGCTTAGGCTCGGGCTTCGGCTCAGGAAAAGGCCGTGCTTTGTCTGTAAGGAGAGAAGACAGTAAACGTGTCACAGTGATGAATCAGATCTAAATATGTCCACAAAGGCCTGTGTAAAGTGACAGCTCTGAGGTACCTTCATTAGCGGGGGGAACCCATGTTGGGTTGCCTGAGGCGTGAGCTTGCTCTGTTGGGGATCCGAGGCTGAGTGGACTACCAGGGCTACAGTCCATGTCCTCCTAAAAAGAAAGAAAACATATTTTTAGGCTCCCAAAAAGGTTGATTTCATGGTGGAATTATTCTGTAATAAAACAGCTGTTCATATTTCACCTCTGTGTAGTTCGTCTGAGGTACAGGCTCATTTAGTTTGGTGAGGTCCGGCTCAGCCCTCCCTGAACCTGTCGATGGTTCCCCGGGGTTTGGCGGCACCGCCATCGCACCCTGAGCCATGGCTTTGTTGAGAGTGGCCAGGAGGATCTTGAGCAGACGCTGAGTGTCGTTGACTGCCGTGGGGTTTGCGTTGCCATGGGCCCTCAGGTCCGTGTCATAGATGCCCATGCTCTCCATCACTGCTGTCAGATTGTCGCTCTGCCCGCCCTCATCAACGATCTCATCTGCTGTGGCTCCTAGCAGGGTGCACACAATTAGTTAGAGACATTTGCAATATTAGTGTGTAAGAAAGTATTGTAGACTTTCACAATTAAAGCTGTTCTGTACATATTACAGAATACTTGAAGAAAGATATGCATTATTATAAAATGTTTAAATGTTACTCTAGGTGTAGGAAGTGAAACTACCTAAATTCAGAGGAAGCTTTTCAGCTTCTGATGAACTTAACTCTACAATTGTGGCAGCAGTTGATGAACTGGCACACCAGTATATTAACAGATACCTGGATGAGCCCCGAACATGCTTGACATTTAAAAATGTAAGCAATCATAAAGTAATTTGTAATCCTATACACTGGCTCCATGTCGATATGGTGCCGATGGGGATGTTGTTTTTAGTTTACAATGCAATTACTCAGAACTCAGACAGTGTTGTGAAACTAATATAATATTCATTATTTCTAAAGGAATGAACGTTCGAGGCAGTAGGTGGAAATTATCGGGAAAATTAAATTACACAATTTAAATAAAGCCAGAGAGAGAGCTGCAGGCGTCCGTCCTCACCTCTGCTTGGTTCCCCGTTGCTATGCGGGTCTGTGCGTTGGTGTTTGTTCATGCCCCCCATCTCCTCTCCCTCAAACTTCCTCTTTAGACTGTTGGCGTCCTCTCCCAGTTCCTTGTGGGGAAGTGCCTTCTTATGAAGCTGGATCAGCTTGAGCAACTGTTTCATCTTGTCCTTATCGTACTCATTGTGGGAAAGCTTCAACTTCTGAGGGGCCTGAGCCGGGGTCTCAATGTTCGTCTTGGGCTGCGGCTGGGCCCCGTTAGAATGGGCCAACCCCTGTCTCCGCTTGCTGCTGTCCGGGGGGGGCTTCTCGTGTGCGGGCCTCTCTGGAGGAGGCCTCTCCGCGGGTCTCTCTGCGGGTCTCTCTGCGGGTCTCTCTGCGGGTCTCTCTGCGGGTCTCTCTGCCCGGTCTGAGCCCCTGTCCGAGCCGCCCCAGTCGGAAACGGGGCTGTATTCCACTGGGGCCGGGGCAGGTGTGGGGATGGGTGTTGGGTGCTGTATCCTTTCACGGATGTCCTTCATTTTGTTCAGAGGTAAAATCGAGTTTGCGGGGTTTTTGACGTAAGAATGCAGCACGGCTTCCATGTTAAATTTGGGTCTGGGCACTTGGAGCGGGTTGGTCCTTTCGTCCACGTTTTGTTTGTATTCGGGCGGAATGAAGGGTCGCACCGTGCCCGATTCCATACGAGTTAGGTAGTCTGTGGCCTGGCGCTCCACCCCAGAGCTCAGGTCCTTGCCAGGGTTGGGCCGCAGCTTGAACAGCGCGTAGTGAAGAGCGGGGATGAAAGGTTCCATCGAGGACACGGTAGCAGGCTTGGGCTCCAGCGTCTCTGGCTCGCACAGTCTGGATGCTACAATGGAGTACACATAAGTTAGTGTCAGCTAAAATACTTTATCTGCACTATTAAATGTGTAAGAGACAGGAGCTTCATTACAGGAGTTGGGGTTGTCACATGGAAACATCACAACTCGTTTTTTATGTAATTTTGTCATTGATTAAATATATGCGCTTGTCTTATCCAAATATTCTCTATTTGCCATTAAAACATTGAAGTGGGGAGCTTCATGCAGATTCGGCCACTGCTGGTCAGGGTTAGAATAGGAATGGATGGTGTGAACAATACTTACAATACTTGACAACCATCCTTGACTCCTGAAAGATGAATAATGCTTGCAGGTTCTTCTCAACGCGCCCCCGCCGCTCTGCAAAACAAACAGCAACTTGTTTCAAAGCTGAACCCTCACCGACAGAAGGAATCAAGTAGGTGTTTTACTGACACAGAGAATTATGAGAGGAGAGTAAAAGCTTTTTGGCACCTTTGGACTCCACCATCTGCGATGAGGACAACAGGAACAGAAAGCCCCTGTCAAACAAGGACTTCACCAGCACCTGAATGAGGAGAGGCAACACTGCAGTCAGAAGCACCGGGGTGTATCATTATCAGATAATGTGAGCTATCATAACACCAGTTTGGTGCTTGACAGGTTTTATTTGTCTAGTGCGCACTACAAACTGACTAGATCAAGTAAAAGAAAAACAGAATAGATGTTTTTACCTGGATAATTGTCTTGTTTATTGGGGAAATAACTGTTTATTGAACAAAATCTACTTTTATTACATTGAATGATTATGTTCAATGCAACAGTGTGTACAAATAGTTGTATTTCTGTGTGCTTTATCAGATTGTGAAATAAGGAGGATTCGAAGGAAAATACTATGGTTGAATCCGGACATCCTGATTCTTTGAATTCAATTTGGACCCAAGTTTATTGAGTTGGTAAACTGGGATTTTGTATATTTTTTGTTTCCCTTTAGGGTGACTCACCATCCTGTCCCTCTCCAGTTTGTGGACCAGCGCTGCCAAGCTACCATTGGTTGGTTTTCCTTTTCCGTCAGTCACATCGAACAGGCTGCAGGACATCCCACACCTCATCACTGCGGACCAAGAAAAGCAACTTCAAATAAACAGCAGACCCATAAGTCCTCTAAAGAAGTCGTTTTCTGCATGCTCAGTCAATCATATACATTGATTAAGTTAAGTAGCTGTTTCTGTAATACAAAATGCAGCGTATGCATTTAGAATAGCTTAATGAATTGAAATTCAAGTAATGCATTTGTCCTGCATCACCAGGGCATTGTCCTAGCATTTCATTATGAGATATTCACATGTGCAGTTCGGACTGACCTTCCCGTGATGCGCTGTAAGTGTCCCAAGAAAAAAGCACAGAGGGGATCTTTCGCTTCACCTGCTCCAGCTGCATACCTCGACTCAGCGACAGCTTCTCAGGCCTTCAGGGGAGAAAACAGATTTGAAATAGCAAATCATAACAAAATCCACACAAAAACGGTCTTTTCATTGCACACATTCATTTTAACCTCCTCTTGGCAGTGTTAAATGTAAGCACATAGAGGGGTTTTATGCAAAAAGGGGTCTTTAATAATTAACAGTGGACATTCTAATAGCACTGTGAAGGTCATTTAGAGATACACAGAATGATGTTAGAGACTAAAGGTTGACTCACAGTTTGTAAGGGAGGTAGGAGCGCGAGGAGGATCGTAAACAGATTGGGAATAACTCCTGGCCCTTGTTCACCAGTACACCACTCCACACAGTGTAGCAGCTTTTCCCTGCAACAGGAGCAACAGCAAAGGTCAGAGGTCAGACAAGATACAGAGAGAAAGGAACTGCTGGAATATCCCTGAAATCCCTGCCCTTTTTTTTTTTTACAGAATCTCTTCTCCGGAAAGTCGTTGAATTTGGACCATTTTGAGGGTGCGTCACACATATAGGCTTTTTCATTTTATTCAATATTTATCAAATAAGTACGATTTAAAATAGTTTTACCTCGCCTTCCTTCAGGTGAAATGGTGTTGAACCTGTTAAGAGAAATGAAAAACAGGCTCATTACAAACACACAACACTATGAAAACCTCCCCAGTTGCCGGGAGATACTGCCAAGTGTCATCACTTCAAAGTCAGCTTTATTGTCAAAATTACTACATGTGTTATACATCCAGAAACCTCGAGATACCGTTTCCCTCAGTCCCACAGTGTGACATATATACATAAAACAAAAAAAGGGCCTAGATAAACGGGGTATACAACTAAGTAATAGTTTTAATAAGGGCTGGTTAATAATATATTTAAAATGTTCAAAGTACAGTTTCAGTGCAGTAGCAGCGGAGATGGGCAGAAAATACGCACCTGTGTGAAGTCATAGGAGTTGCTGCAGCCTCCTTGCCTTTGTACTGAAAGGAAACCACAGCGTAGGGGCACACGTGCCTGGGTCGTGCCTTGATCTCATCGAATGCAAACTCAAAAAAATATTGCTAAAAGACAACAAGAAATATGTGTTATTAACTAATTCTGTCCATGACATAAAGTAATTTAATTTGAAAATACAAAACATAAAGTAAGTGAAATAACAAAGACCTCTCGCTTACCTGTGTGAGCTCAAAAGCCCTGTAAGACAGCAAAGACGTAACCCTATTGGCACTTTTGGACAAGTGAGAGTCAAACTTTTGATTCGGTTCCATAGCGTTCTTAGGCATGTTCTCATGGATGTGCTTTATTCGGCCCTGAGAGACAAAACAGACAGGTGAGCTTAAGATCCCACGGGAATAAGAAATCTGTCAACAGCACAAAATGAAAATAGAGTGGTAGACATACCCTCATGACTTTGAAAATGATTATGTCTCCAGACGAGCCCACTTCGAAGGGATTGATTTGTAACAGATCAGAATATTTTGAGACATAAACACCTACAACGACAGAATAACTGGATTAGAGGAACAGCGTCATAATCACACTCCATCAGTAATGCATTCAAGTATCATCTTTTTACACACAAAACCATAATAATCACGTCAATTACATGGCGATACTTTGAGAGGACAAAACATTCGTCAGCGATGAACCAACATTAAAGTGATATCTTTTTTATATTTAAGAGCCATTCCCAGCTGTTGATATAGCACGTAAGGTTGTAAATTAATCAGGTCACAATAAACAAAGAACCGTAGCTGCTTATCAATCGGCTAACAAATGAAATAGGAAACAAATACCGCTGTCAGTGCTAAAACAATAACATGACAAAGAACATCTAATCAAAAACAATACTGTCTCCCTTTGAGGAAACAACATGAAAGAGACTAACTCACCCGTTGAATTGTTTCCTAGTGTAGTAATCCTGGAGTGTCCCACCGACAGACCCTTCTCACAGATCCACTGGAGCTACACAAACAAGAGAACAAGAAGAGCTCAGAATCATGCACAATGAGAAAACATCATTATTTTAAACCATCATCACCACGTCCGTTATTATTACCTTGGATTTGTCTGGGAAAAGGAAGCAGTATGACTCGGTCAGCTCCGGTTCCGTCCGCCCCTCCTGCTTCATCTCTCTCCGCTTCTCGATGAACTGGCACAAAACATGGAGCAGACAGCCAATGAAATACAGCAGAGCTTAACATGCATGACTGGTAGAATGTGTAACTTGTAAAGATCACATTTGATTACAGCCGGGCCTCAGCATGATCTCCATCCTGCCATGTGAGCCACGAGAACAGTCGTTTGACCAGCTAAGCCGTAAAGACTGAATGTGTGTAGAGACAATGACATTTTGCCCACAGGAAGACTTTGACCTACCTCCTTCTCCAGCAGCTCATTGTGAATGAGCCTTGCCTTGCAGTAGGAGAAGGTTCCTCGTGATGAGGAGTCGAGGTAAAACGAGGAGAAGATCTTCACAAGGTCTTCAAACTCCCGGCTGTCAGGGGGCAGGAACTGGTACAAGCCTGCACACAGAGAGGAGATCAGTTCATTAGAAATGTGCAGAGTAGTAGTAAAGCATTCCAACACTTAAACTCAATCCACAGGAGACGGCAACATCAAGCTGACAATCATCCTCATGTATAGGGTGATATGGTACCAATATATCTTTCTTACAGGAGAAGAGGATACATGTGACCTGTGTTAAGACTTCAGTTATTATCAGAAAGTCTCTTAGTGTGCATTAAGTGAATCTCACTGGGGTTGCACTGACCCAGCTGCCTCTACTTCCCATGTGCTAAAGCCAGCTGACTAGAATAGATTACCGAGTTGTCCTTTAAGGAATAAGCTGAACACTGATCAGCAGTAAGTAGGAATCTCTTATATCAACCAACACGTGACGAAACCTAGCTTCTGTCTGTGTTTACAAAAAGGTTTATTTTATAAATCCAAAAACATATAAAGAAGAGAACAAGCACTTGCAAAATACTGGACGGAGCAGTGTCAGCCTCACTCAAGCTGTGGGGTAACAAGAAGTGATACATATTTCAGGTGAGGAAACACGCTGACTGACTCAAATCTGGAGATGCACACAGCCAGGTCTGTCTCACATTTAAGATTACCAAAAATAATTACATTGTTTTTGCTTTACATATGAACCTTGATGAGTTGACCAGATACTGCAAGCGTGGCTGCTTAATAAAGACTCTAGTCTAGCAACTGCAGCTCAACTTTGCATATACACAAACAAGTGATGTATGACAGCGAGGTTTGTAACAACCACTCTGCTGCCTCCTTTTTGAGACATGATGGGGCCAGTGTCGTTGTATTGTACTGTGAGGTGAAGGTGTAAGAAGGATGCTCTGATACACAAGTGACATCAAGCTGGTGGGCAGCCCTACTTATTGGTATTGTGAAAACCTTTTTTAGAAGTTGGGTGGATTATTCATGCCCTTCACCGAGGTCAATATGACACCAACATGTTGTCAGGTGATGGCTGCAACAAACTCATGACACCAGCAGCGAAACTCAATCAGACTATAGTCCCATGAAAAAGGTAACGGCCAAACAAGGTGGTCTTTCAAACGGGCAGTGTGTTGCTTTCAGGAGCCTTCAAGGGACATGTAGCCAACTGCTGTAACTTGGGTACCTGGGTTGGACCACCAAAGCTAGCTCTGCTAAAGCAACTCACGCTACATTAGTCCAGACTGTCCGATAGCTTACATACTACGTCGTTGGTTTAATCTTAACCCGTGGACATTAAGTTAAACTAGTAAAACTAGCGAGGCCATCCAGCTAGCTAGCAGGCTAGCAACATGCAGCATCAGAATTATGAAAGACAGGACAGGCTCTGTTCAAAATAGCAGCGATATGGCACCACCTTTCCGTTCTCTTATCTTCCTCGGGATTTGGAAATTCTTCCGTGGCAGCTCCTCGCTCGGTCTCTGGCCTTGCGAGGCGGAACTGCCAAAGCTCCGGGCATCTGCCTGCACGCTCCTGCGCCGCTCAGGGGCTTCTTTCTCGGGCATTACACCGTCTCCACATCCAGGCTGATCGCCATTTTGGTTGGCTGTGGCCGAGGTGGCGGCTGATTTCTTCAAGGGTTCGCCTCCCTCCAGCTGCATTTCGTCCGTCGCGGTACTTTCTGAGTCCCTTCTCCCCACCGCGTTGGGGTTCAGGGCCATTTTCGGGCACCGTGCACGTATTACGGGCAATGTAGCTCAAACGATTACGGCGGCGCTTCACTTACACACACTCCTCCTCAACCAGCCTCCGCCATTATGAAAATGACGTACACGTTCTTCTCCACCACTGCAAAACGCTGCCGTCACGATGTTTACAAACGCCACCCAGCGGCGGAGCGGGGTACTGCCCGACCGGTGATGAGTGATGGATGCAATAGTGAGTGAACATGGCGGTGAAGGATGTATGCAAATGTAAACTAATTTAGGACACATTCTATTTACAAGGCAAAATGTATAAAGACCCACCCATTTGTCACATGCTACTATAATGAAACTAAACATTATGTTGTTGAATTGAAATCTAAATGTGTAAAATATCACTTATATTACCAAAATAATGGAATCAATGGAATATCCTTATAACCATAAAAATGACCAACACCATTATTATTCTAATTTAATTATGTTTATCTAAATGGTTTATGCTGCTAAGTACCATTTTGGTATAAGAGCTGTTGTGTATAGAGGATACACATTGTGTAATTGTAATGATTCCCTTAATGTTTATAAATTAATTGAGATGATTTTAGATGACAAATACACTAGCTTTAAACGATACCCAATATATAAAATGTATATATTGGGTATCGTTTGTGGGATTTGTTGTTCTGTATACAGAACAAATCCAACTTTTGTAATACCTTATTATACCACCAGATTATGACAAAGAGCCTGAGACAGACTCAAGAATCATAAACATGTTTTAATGTTTATATTACATTGTTAAAGCTTTTTTTATGCATACAGGTTTAATGCTTTAACGCCATCTCACTTTTCGATTTGTTTGTACTCACATTATAAAATGGTGATCTTATTGTTATAAGACTGGTTGTGAAACAAAGATACATAATTTCTCAAATTGTTTCTTTAGGACCCATTTAACCAGGTGAGTGGTAATAAAGGCTAGCGATAGAGGATAGCAAGTTCGAGTCCCACTGCAGTCAGCATGTCGTTGTGTCCCTGGGCAAGACACTGCACCCCAAATTGCTCCTGTGGGGATTGCCCACAGTATTGATTATGTAAGTCGCTTTGGATAAAAGCTTCTAACATGTAATGTAACCTAATGTAAAAATAAAGAATGCTAAAAACACTTACAGGTTTGTACAAATATTATTTCAATCATTAAAGTACATGAAAAACTTAAATAATGAACACTGATTGTCTTTGTCCCTTTATTCCAGTTGTGTGGCAGCTAATGTGTTTTCACTATGGGTTCACCATACTGCCTCTGCTGTATACATCAAACTCCTTGTAGCGTATGTAGTCTTTCAGCCTGGGAGGAAGAGGAAGATAATTGATGAAAACTGGGGATCTCAAGCGCAGGTGACTGAGATGCTCCCTTATCCGCAACCGACACAGATGCTTCAGGCTTCGTGTATTACCTGAGTGTAAATCAAGTCAGTTAAATCAATGAATGCAAAAAAATGTAATTAATATCCTTCAGTTCTCACTTTGAATATGACAGATCTCCATCCACTGTTTCTGCTCCTTCAAGGTGTCTTTGAGTTGGGTGCAGAAGGAGACGTGGTCGGTGTAGTCCAGCATGATGCGCACCACCTGAGCAGATAAGTGCTTAAGCCAGGACACTGTTATCACCTCACAGAACTGGAAGGACAAACACAAAGACACACGTGGCAGTCAAAACAAAACCTTGACCTACTCCACTGATTCCCCTGCCAGTTTCTCCTTATTCTTCAAATGTTAACAGCATTTTCTCTCACAGACTAGCTTCACCTCACCACCAGGTCTTTGATGATTGAGGTCGCCCAAGGACCATAGTCATGGGAAGTGTCCCCATACGGACAGTCAAAGCAACGCTTGACATCATATCCATGGTTCAGAATCATCCTCAGCATGACCTCGTCTTTCAAGGCGTACTGCAGAGCTGAGGGGAAGTGAGTGGTGTTGACACGAGAGTAGTAATTTACATTCGCCCCGAACTTCAGCAATTGGTTGATCATTTCATAGTGGCCCTGTCTGAGAGCCAGCTGCAAACAATTGATAGGATCCTGGTTCACCATTGCCCCGGCCTCCAACAGCAGGCGGGTGCACTGAAGATCATTGTTGGACACTGCAAAATAGAGGGCAGACCTGCGCTCATCATCATAATTGCAGCGCACACTTGTGTGAAGCATGAAGTTAGGATCGTAGTCAGCTTTGAGCAGTATCTCCACACAATGAGCATGTCCCCCAGCGGCTGCAGAGTGGAGAGGACTCATCCCGCCTTCCTTTACAGCCTTCAGTTTAGTGACTGGGATGAGGCGCTCCAGTGCCCTGTTGGTGAATAATCCTAATGTCAGAACATGACAGGGGGTTCAACCTCTATTTTAAAAGTAGGAAAGTTAGATGTAACATATTCCTCACAGTATGTGTCCATGGTAGGCCACACGGTGAATTGGCAGATGGCCACTGGAAAGAGGTTGGTTGGGATCTGCTCCATGGTCCAGCAGCAAGGAGATAATGTCAGGGTTTCCTGATGCCGCTGCATCAAACAAGACAGGGCCTGACTCTGATTCGCAACACACATTGGCTCCTACAAAATAGATAGAGATGCTGTTAGAATTTACATTTAACAGCCATTTCTCAGACCTGGAAAATATATGTTATTAATCTAAGAGGGTCAAACGCACAGTAATGTAATGTAGTAACAGGATTGTCTTACCAAAATCACTCTGGTGTGAGTTACTCCCCTCTAGTTTACGAAAACAAAAGCGCTTTACTCTGAGCTTATCAGGTGAAATATTAAGCCCAAAGTGGAAGTTAAATCACTTTAACAATACCTTTTTGTAACAGGGCTTCCACCACATTCAGATGTCCATTTTGTGCAGCCAGAGCCAGGGGAGTTTTCTTTTTGATGTCACGGGCATTTGGGTCGGCACATGATTCAAGGAGCAAATGGACAAAGTTCTCCAGACCTAAAAAGGCTGACTCGTGTAGAGCTGTCCTGTTTAGAGGTCCTGTTTGGTCCACGTTGGCTCTGTAGCGAAGCAACAGTGTGGCCAAGTCATACTGGTCATTCAGAATTGCTAAGAGGCAAAGAAGGTAATTATACAAATGGGCAAATATCTTTGGGTGGGTGCAAAATGAGATAAACTTAGCATTCAGATGTCAGATACCTGCCACTAATGGAGAGTCTTGCTCATCATTCTGGAGATCTGGGCTACTGGCGTTCTGTAACAGGAATGTAGCGTTGTCTCTGACTCCATGAACCACAGCCAGAAACAGTGGTGTCTCACCCTTCAGAGTACGACACTGTGCTGCACCTGGAGGTGATGCTGGAACATAAAACAACTAATAAAAACGTGCCTAAATAAAAAATCGAAAAGAGTATTACTTTTAGTAACATCGCTACCTGAGAAGATAATCTCTAGTATCTTTTTATTCTCTTGCGCCGAAGCTTCATGCAGCGGGATCCATCCTCGTTCATCAACTCTTGACAGAGCCTCTGGTTGCGCTGCCAGTCTGTTAAGGGCATCTTCATCACCTAAACATGAGTACATTTTCTCAGAACTATGGCAAGATCTAATGAAAATGAGTTTGGACAGGTTTAAGAATTACATCAGCTCACCCTCCTTGATTGCTTTGAAAATCTCATCAGGGTCTTTACTGGGTTTCAGATCGCTGTTGAGAGAAATGTAAATGATGAAGAGATACTGTATAGAGAAATAGGGTTATTTAGGTGGTCGGAGATCAACCTTGGATTCAATCCTTTGAGTTTTCTATATTCAATCAGGCTTTGTTCAATTATATATTGCGTCGCCTCATCCTCATCCAAGTCGTCCTCCGATTGATAAAAGTCATCTTCTGTCTCTTTGTTCATCTGTAGGTCCAGAAAGGGTCAACGCACAAGGAACTGCCCTGGGGAGACAGCCATAAGGGAGACAATACTTTTAAATATGGCACCCGAAAACTCGAACACCACCTGCAGCCCTGAATACTGACAGGGAAAAGTTCACAAAAGCTCAGTGCAGTTAATCACAGGAGTTGCTGACATACTTATTCCTGTCGTTGAATTAGATGTAAAAATGGGCTGACGGATACCAAAACAAAGATTTGGATTATAATGATTCCATGCAGTCCTTGTTTGTCCTAGATTTTTGCATAGCAGCACTAACTTAACAGGCCATGTGAGATCAGATAATTTACAGAATACACCTCTCATGGTGATTGAATTAAATTAATGGAGATTCAAACTGCATGAATGATTGCAGTGAGCATGTACTTAATATTAATCTTAAATTATCAAAGGAGATGTAACAAGAAATACTTCAACAACAAAATCCCAAATGCTATCAAGTTACCTGACACATTCAATAACATAACATGGAAGATCGATAGCCACATTTAAACAGGTTGCCTACACAGCACACTCCACACCCTCATTTTTCACCATATGCATTATTTATTTATTATCTGGTGTTTACCTTCAGTCAGATGGCTGTGCGCCTTCGTTGGCTTTCAAAACAGTATTGCCAGCAGGCTCCTCAGCACACACACATGCTGCAGCTATTTATACATATACCACTATAAATATCAGATCACGGGGTCTTCACAGCCAGCACCTAGCTTTGACCCACTGAGCCCTGCAACAACTGCCACCATGCAGCTCATGCATGTGCGCTCATAACAACATTACTGACATAATACAAAAATAAAGAGTAGGCTATTATTTACATATGCATGAACTAGTGTATGTTTTCACTGTTTATTTTGTGATAATTCATAGCTAAAGGTTATGTCGTTGCTGTACTGTTTTGTGCTGGAACTCATGAACGCCTGTATAACAACGAGAGTGCGGAGAGTCTAGACATGAAGTATGACCATATTGGCTCCTAAAGCGGCCAAAATCATAAAAATATAAGAAAAAAATATAACTCAAAGCAAAGTGCCGCTGAGGCACCCGTCAGCGAATCTTACGCATGGGTATAAATCAAGGTCCGAGCAAAAGTCGTTTTAGTGCAATTTATTATACACAAGCATTTTTCTTCGTTCTTACCCGATGGTAAAAAAAAACATAGGCCTATCGGGTGCGCCGCCCACTACCACCTGTTTCCCAGATTTATAATGAGCA